TGTAATGGATTCAAATGGAATTCGAATTCGGCTCTCCGATTCCTCAATCCGAGCCGCTATCCATTACTCCTCCAGGAAAATTTAGAAGAGGTTTCCTACCTTTCCCAAGGGTATTAGCACGTAAGTGAATGTAATAGATTCGACAGGAATTCGAATTCGGCTCTCCGATTCCTCAATCCGAGCCGTTATCCATTACTCCACCGTATTAAAATTTGAATTAAAAGTTCTTTGAATATTCAATTTATTTATGCGTCACGGATTTTGTCCATTTTTGGATTTTGTCATCTGATGTTTTTTTCCACTGGTTTTTGTTCTGGATTCGTAAAATTTTTGGATATTCTTTCCACATGTATAATAGAATTTTCAACTCTCTTTCTAATTCTAAGCATGCTTTCTTCATTAGTTTCCATTTCCATGAGAATATCCTATTAATTATATACTGCGTCTGTAGTATTTGCATTAACCATCTGTGGAACCATATCTCCGTTGTCTCAGACAAACGGGGCATTGCTAAAGATGTTGGAAAATATGGTCGGTTCTCTTTACCGCTCCAGTAAGTACCTGACTCCCCTACCATTACAAGAGCCAAATCAGACAGAAAATAGAGTAGTGCTACCCTATATGGTCAGGAGCTTCCAAGCCTTCATTTTCTAGTTTCGACAGAGTCCAAAAGCGCCATCACGGCCTTGTGGGTGATGAACTGTTTGCCCTCTTAAAACCCTTTTCACGCAGTGGAAACGTTGCAAAGCTTTGGCTACTCTATCGCCATCTCCATGGAAAGTGTTCAGACGAACATTCCTTTTTTTTTTCCCCGATTTTAACATCGGCGCTTAGGACCAGCCATGCCACGCCCATTGTAGCGAATCCCCTTCCTTCCCTTCGTATTCCATTACTGAGGGGTATGTTCCGCTCAAGCAGCCTCTTCACACGAACTGCTACTTTGTGTAGCCAACTCCTACGAGAACGCTTCCTGATCAGTACAATCTTACCCTGTTCAATTCTATGATAAACCGTTATATCCCCCACGTATCCTCATATATTCTACCTATTAAATTTTGTAAATCCCTACCTCGAGTAGCTCTTGAGCTATATAAAAAAAAACAACCTTCCAATCGTATGGAAATTGTCTAGCATTTTCAACCATATAGAAAGATTGATGTCACATAATCCAGCACTCTTTTCTTTGTTTCTAATGAAATTTTCCTGCACACCACTGCAAATGACCTAATCTGAGGGAAAAATAAAAATCGATTACACCTTGTCATTCCAGTGGGTCTAAGACTGACCGTATGGTGAAAGAAAGGAAACAAAAGCGGTTGTTTCAATTAATTTGCACAAGTGTACGAACAAGTAATACAACCATCAGCATTTTTTGAAAAGTTTTACCATATAAAGTTCATCAAAATCTCATTGTTGTACATATATTTCACTAAAATATTTAATTTATTACGTCATTAAAGAACATTTACCGGATATTTAGCAGTTAGTTATTTCTTTTTTTTAATTTCCGTTCCAAAACATATTTTCAAAATTTCGGGGAAAATTGCTAACTAGTAATACTTGATGTTAATTAATTTCTCATAACTTTTAAGGTGTTGATTAGTCGAGCTTACTTGTCTGTTTCATATGACATTTTTTTTATATTTATATATATTAATAGGCTATGAAAATAAAAATAAAATTATTGTCTTTTCATTAAGAAGTAAGAGAAATAAATACTAACGATATATCAAATACTTTTGTAGGCATTGCTCATCAGTAGCTGCCTATTTTGTATTCTATTCTTTACTAGATTAAAAGCCAATCTATAGGGCGGCATTTAAGCTAGCTCATGCAGATCTTAATAGGACCTCCGTCACAATAGGCATGGGGGAGTGGATGCGATAGTCCATAAACTGCAGAAGAACTTAAAATTGATCGCTGCATTGAATTAATATTTAAGCTTACCTTTTAAAAAAGTTCAACGTTAATACTTCTATAGCCACTGATTTTAAAGTCAGTTAGATGTTAGTAGGTCCTTACTTTGCGTACAAAAAATATTTTTATTCTATGAGTGACCTTGGCTGGATTCGCATTTAAATTCAATTATTCCCAAATTTATTTCGAGCTTATAAAAATTGTTATCGTACAAAAAAAAAAAAAAAAATGTGGCAAAAAATAACATAAAAAATAGCCGAAAACAATCCCAATAATGAAAATTTGGGAATCTAAAATTTCGGAAAAGTGGGTCCGGATCCGACCCGGAATGTATTTAATTTGCTCACGGAGTCGGCCTGATTCCAAAATGTCATGATATGTTAGACTACGGCCTCTAGGAGTCAAGTTGGGAAAGTGTGACAGTCACATCCGCATTTATTATAGCGATTTTTCTAGCGTAGTTAGATGTGGAACAAGTCTGAAATTTCGGGCGACCCAGGAAGGAGGGAACTGACTACGCATTCGCAATTCTTCTAGCGAGACAAGCTTGCTAACCATTTGACCACGTCTCATGTCGGCATTGATTGCATTATTAGAGGGAGAGTTTCGAAAATAAACACCGCTATATATATATATAGCAAGTAGTTCAACGATCTGCATAGAATTTTTTTGAAATATATATATATATATATAGATATATATAAATTCTATGCAGTTGCAGTAGTTCAACCATCTGCATAGAATTTATATATATATATATATATATGTGAGTGTGTGTGTGTGTGTGTGTAAAAATATATAGAAAATAGCAAAGAACTCGTTAGGTAAATAATCCAAAGTTCTTTAATATTTTTGTTATTATATTTAAAAAATAGTGCTCGATACAAAAATGTAGAGCATATATATATATATATATATATATATATATATATATATATATATATATATATATATATATATATAAACACACGCACACACACACACATATGCAGATGGTTGAACTACTTGCTCGTACACTCTTTTGAAAAAGAAATTGAAACAACCGCTTTAGTTTCCTTTCTTTCACCATACGGTTAGTTTTACACTGACTGGAGTGACAAGGTGTCATAGATTTCTTTTTTCCCCTCAAATTAGGTCATTTGCAGTGGTGTGCAATAATATTAATCTATTTCCCGAGTGTATGATAAAAAATTGTTTGGACTTGAAAAATATTGCGTCATCCGTGATAGCATCAAACTTTTATCACGCCCAGACACTATTGTCTCGAATGTCGATTAGTTGTTTTACGGCTATTGTCTGTAATGGACGTCACTCTAAGGAAGCGTACGAAAATTGTAACGCTGCACGAAGACGCTGGCAATCTTTACCAGTGAGCAGATCAAAGTACTATAGACTGACCCGGAAACTTTCCTCATTTAAATGCAGTCGAGAATCTGTGGTCAATCTGTAAGGAACAATTTAGTGGAATGAACATACGAAGTACCAACATTTACACTTTAAAAAAAACAAAAAAAACTGAATTATTCGTTTTGCTTCAATTAATATCTATCTATCTATCTATCTATCTATCTATATATATATATGTAGATAGAAAGATAGATTGTACGAACTGAACATATTTGCGATTTTGCTGCTTCAAGTAAGACGTGCTTTAAATTGATTAAATATTTCTGAAACATTTACTTGAGTTCGATCCCTCTTTTCCCCTTTAATTTTCGTTCAGAATGTCTCGTTTTATGCACAAGGGCAATTAGATGTGGGTAATGATTTGCAAGCTGGTCTCGCTAGAACAGATACAAATGAATTGTGTTAGATCACTGGGGGCTCCGTACTTCCGACCTTGTGCCACACCTAAAAGATGGATTTCAGTTATAATCCCGAATCTTAAAATCCAGAATATCAAAATCTTGAAATTTAAAGAACCGAAAAAAAAAAAAAATCCGGAATGTATCAAAATCGCGAAAGATCAGAATCCCGAAATTTAAAATCCTGAAAAATCAAAATTCCGAAATTTAAAATCCTGAAAAATCAGAATACCGAAATTTTAAATCTTGAAAAATCAAAATCCCGAAATGTAAAATCCTGAAAAATCAAAATCCCGAAATTAAAAATCCTGAAAGATCAAAATTCCGAAATTTAAAATCCTGAAAAATCAGAATCCCGAAATTTAAAATCCTGAAAAATCAGAATCCCGAAATTTCAAATCCTGAAAAATCAGAATCACGAAAAATAGTCTTTAGGAGGAATTTAAAAAAAAAAAAAAAAAAAAAAAAATAGGGAAATACTCCTATTTGTGAACATTTAAAAAATAGAATTGAAATAGTGTTTATATATTTGAAACATTTAAAGAACATTAAAAATATAAAACCAGAATATATGAATAATTCATAATAAAAGATTATGAGCAAGACCCAAAGATAGTCCATAAGATCTAGTCCATTTTCACGACCGTTAACTATATTTTTAAGCCTTTCATCACGATAGAACAACGTTTTTATTTATTTATTTATTTTAAAAAAACGTCTCATCTCGGGGAATGCGGTCACATTCGTATTCTACTTACTGCTGCCCTTTGGAAATCCTCCAATAATGCGATGAACACCGACACGAGCATTGCCTACTAAATTTTCCCATCGTCCACGGTATCTTCTGGTTTTATATTTTATTAATGAATTTTGAATGTTTCAAATATTTAAACTTTATTTAAACGCTATTTTGTAAATGTTTAGAAATATGGGTAAGTCCATTTTTTTTTTTTTAAATTTCTCGTAAATACTAATTTGGGGGGGATTTTAAAAATCAGGATTTTAAATTCTGGTATTCTTATCTTTCGGGATTTTATAAATTTATTCGAGATTTTAAATTTCAGGATTTCGATATTTTGGATTTTAAAATTCAGGATTATGATCGGCATCCTTAAAATATGCTTAGTAAATCAATATTATGCACAATAAATTACAGGAAGCAGAAGGAAAAGTTTATATATATTAGGTTGGTGCAAAAATAATGACGTAATAATTTCGTTTTTGACGTATTTTTAACGTCAAAAAACGACATTCTTACGTCATTATTTTTGCACCAACCTAATAGAAAGAAAGAAAGAAAGCAAAAATGAAAGAAGGGGCGAAGAATACAGGGAAAAACGCGCCACGAAAGAATAAAAGATGTAGTAAAGAAAAAATGAATGCAAGGGAAGACAGAAAAGTAAAAAAAAAAGAAGAGGGATGGAGTAATCAAGTAGAAGAAATGAATGGATATAAAGTAAAGTAAGAGAAAGTTCAGAACGTATATTAAGGTAAAGGCAAGTATAAAAATCTGGCAGAATAAAGAAATTAGAAAATTTAGAATGCGAGAATATAATGTAAGCAAAGAAACTGCGCTGAAGAGAAAAGACAAATAAAGCATAAAAAATGAGTGTTGTAACGTGAAAGACGGGTAGACAGAAGGGCAATTCCTAGCGGTTAATAGAAAAGTTTTCAAGGTGGAACTGATGAACTTCATCTTGACCTCTGACAAAGCCTCATCACTCATTACCCCGCCGTGAAACGATACTGACTCAATGTTTTGAGAAGCCCAAAACTAACCACCCCGCCTGTAGCAGTCTCTCAGCTTATCCACTGTCGGCCTGGGTAGACGTGAATTCATTCACTCCAGTGAAAATCATGTTAACAAATATCCCTATTTACACACATATGCCTTGTCTATCAGCATGTTTTCAAACGTGAGCGATGAAGACAACTCCGAGTAACATTTTTGCCTAACAAGAAATGAAAAAGAAAAGCGCCCAATTTTCCAAAGAATATATTTTATTCCGATCACGTTTAAAATACTGATAACAAAATACACTTTCCTTCGTTAATGTTGTGTCTATTTATTATGGTTTTTGAGATTAGACAGGACCTATGCCTTTCTTTTGAAATCAAGTGTAAACCAGATCTTTGTTTACATTTTAAGTGTAGTGTTACTGGTCCGTTTTGACTCGTGTTAAAACGGAAATTTTGTCTTCAATTTACGTGCAAAGCAAGGTATGCCTACGTTTTCAGCTATCTTTTTTTTCTTTTTTGTAATTAGACAAGAAGTAAAGCAATAAAGCCACTAAAACAAACACAAGGGATTACCGAATGTTAAAGGATCTTAAAAACAAAATATTACTAAGGACAATAAAAGCATAGGAACTGAGGAATCAGATGATGGCGACTAAAATTGCATTTAAAGAGTTTAAAAGGAACCGGAAATCCAATCTTAAACAGGAAAAGAGTCATAAACATCTACTACTGTTGAACATACCGAGGCGGAGTGTAAACCTGACGACAGACAAACGTATCTTCTATTATTTCCTTTTATCCTGGCTTTAAATGGCTAGAAATATTTCGGCTGAAAATACAATGTTGAGAAAAACAACGAAAAATGCATTACTTCGTCAAAATTGATCATCAGTTAGGTGCAAAGATCCATTCTTTAGATATTTACAGGAAAAGAACTTCCAGTGGATAGATAATTATTAAACTATGTTAGGTTAGAATGAAGACCATGAGGAATTGTTCTTTTTTTTTTTTAAATCATTTCACCCCAGGTAAGAAGATAACACCACAATAGACTGCTGCAAGGGAAAGATAAGAAAAAGCCATTCGCAGTTATCAATTGAATTGAGTTATGCATTCAGGTATATAATACGTTAGAAGATTCCCTTTCTCTGACGTGCTCTGATAACTCAGAGGTAGAGTCTCTGATTGATGCCAAATCGATCGAGTTTCGATCCCGGCTTGAAGCAATCGGATATCTAGTCACACGGAAGAGCTGTGATACAGCGAAACAGGCTTGTATGTGGATGACTATATATATATATATATATATTTATCATGGCGTATGTGTGAAACTGATAGAATTATTACAAATCGAATTATTTTTATTTTTTTATGATCAAATCTCGAACACTTTTAGTAATCTCAAAATGTCTACTGAGGTGTTAATGGTTAAAACAAAATATAATGTTTCTCATACAAAATATTCATAATATTGCTAATTGTACTGTAGATAGGCAAATCCTAATTTGAAATTTCGGTAGTAAGAAGAGACTGGATAAAAACTTTAAAATAAAAATAAATACACTATATTTACTAAAAATTTTATCATTTATATGAAAAAAATGTTTATGTACGTATATATATATATATATATATATATATATATATATATATATATATATATATATATATATATATATGAATACGCGGAGATCAATAGTAAAAAGTAAAAAGTAAAACATATATATATATATATATATATATATATATATATATATATATATATTTTTAGGTTGGATTGATATGAGTTTGTGACTTGGGTTTCACGCTTTAGCGATCGTCAGCTGCCGATCGCTAAAGCGTGAAACCCAGGGTCACAAACTCACATCTATTCAACCAAATATGTTAGCTCTATCTCTGATATTGAGCGCTTTCTAATAAGTACCGCCCATATAATATATACATAATTATACATATATATATTTATTTATAGTTATTTACACTTTACACACACACACACACACACACACACACACACACACACACACACACGCGCGCGCGCGCACACACACACACACACACATATATATATATATATATATATATATATATATATATATATATATATATGTGTGTGTGTGTGTAAAAGAGAGAGAGAGGATTTTATATTATGGATGACTATTATATACTCAATGTGGCTAGACATCCGATTGCTTCAAGCTTGGATCGAAATTCGTCGTTAAAAATCTTTTACACTTTTTCCACACAATATTTTCCGAACAAGTTTTCTAGAATATTCAGACTGGTAGAAGTAAATAAAAAATATACTATTTACTAAATAATTAAAAAAGAGAGCATATCAAATATGAGTATACGAGATTCCATTTAAAATGATATTTAAAAAAATAAATTAAAAATATGACGGATTTACTTTGGATACGCAACAGAGATATGTGTGTGTGTGTGTGTGATAGAAATTATTAGGGAGATTTGAATAATCATAATTAAGTAATTCATCGAGCCTAGAAATAAGAAAGCCGTTTCGTCCTATTTTGGGACTCATCAGCAATGCACATCCACAACCGAAAATCGATTACGGACCTTTACGATATTACACAAGCGTCATTCCAATTCCATCAACGCGTCTCGGTGACAAAGAGGTAACAAACTAGACTCGATATAGCGCTGATCTTCATAAATTCCGTCGTGTAACTCATCTAAATTTACTTAGTCCAACGGACTGTGCCCCCAATATATATATATATATATATATATATATATATATATATATATATATATATATATATATATCTTTCCACGAAACCAAGGGAGTACTTTTCCGAACTCTATGATCTTAAACTTTTTTAAGCATTACGCCCCGAGCAAGGCGGGAAGCCACTAGGGTGCAGGGGGTTGCAGAAGATTTGGAGCGAGAGCAAATAAGAGTGATAGAAGAAAGGATGAGGAGAAGGATAGTGGATAGATCAAGGTAACTGGAGATGTCGATTGACATTGCATTTGAATAGTTGGAGATTATAGCTTTCAGGGAAACAGTAATAGGGAAGGGTGTTCCACAGGCAAGAGGCGCGTGGTATGAAGCTATTGGAGTAGAAGAGACGGCTACATTTAAAAGTTTCTACGATGTAAGGGTGGGAGCGGGATGCCAGCCTCGTAGGGCGCTTGAATTCATGAAGTCTGGGAACCAGTGAAAGCCGCTCATCGGAGCAATTGCCCTGAAAGTATTTGTAGAAAAGACAGAGAGAGGCGACGGCTCGTCTGTGAGAGAGCAATTGTAGGCGAGATGCCAGATCAGAGCCAATTATATTATATATCCGCCTCTGGATCTTGTTTAAAACTAGGGATAACCACATTCCCCAGATATCCCCATAAACTGTGCTTCTTTCACCCGACCTGTTCAACCTATACAGCGATGCAACTCTGACAGAACTGGAAAACCTTTCGGGATTTAGCAATGGCAGGCACAATCTTAACAACATAAGATTCGCAGATGACACAATAGTGAGAGCAGAAAAGTAAATTACATCATCTCCTACAGAATGGTTAGCATAAAGTAAAAGAAGATAAAATGCATGGTCATAAGTAAAAGGAACAGCCCCAAATGCGATTTACAGGTCGGCAACACTAGAATCAATCAGACTGGGAAATTTAAATATCTGGGAAACGTTCTGGCAGAGGACGGTAAATGCGACACTGAGATCCGTAGACTTATTGGGATGGCCAATGACGCATTCCAAAAGCTGGACAGAGTACTGCGAGACAGCAGGATTTCTTTGGTAACGAAGAAAAAGATTACTGAGCTGTTACGTGACATCTGTCCTTCTTTACGGCCGCGAATTTTGGACGGTCAACTCAAAGATGAAGAAGAGACTCGAGTTGAGGGAGATGTGGTTGTACAGACGGATGATAAGGATATCATGGACCGAGCAACGATGAGATCTTGGACAGGTTGCAAACAGGGAAGATGCTTATACTTAACATCAGAAAGAGGCAGCTGAAGTTTCTGGGACACATAATGAGGAAAGAGGGTATGGCGAATCTGATTCTCACGAGTCGAGGAGGGAAAGAGTTTCAAGAGAAAACAACGCATGACATACCTAAGGTTTAAGCAAATGGATGAGAGAATGTGGTCTAGGTCAGGTGGCACATGGAAGGAACTGATTGAGGGCTGCACGGGGTAGAGGGAGATGGAGAGCCATGATCGCCTACGTCTTGAAAGCCCTTGTTAGCCGGCGTGTGTGTCAGACCTGTCCGCCTTGGGTGGCCCTACCAGGAACGAAGTTCCGGGTGGCATAGCTCTGACACTACCGTTTACACCCCCCCACCGACTGTGAGGTAAGGGTTTGACTTTGGGGGCTTACAGTACCAGGTGTTCCCAAGCGGTACCCCATCTAAGTACTGACCTGGCTCTATCATGCTTAACTTTGGTGATCGGTGTTTCGGCTAACAAGGGCTCTGGTGAAAATCCAAGGAGCGTCTGCATCGGTAACCGGCGGCTTCTGGTCGTTCCTGTCTCTGCGTCTGTGGGAATCCCGCGGCAAGCAAGAACGTTATCCGAGTAGGCCTGGGTACCATACTTCTGTAATTTCTCCCAAGAATCTTCTTCTCATAACAGGAAGAAGCCGGCTCAATCCGCCCAGGGTGAATGCCGCATCAGTACAGTACAGTACGTCTTGAAAGAACATGGTATATAAAATGAAGAAACTGAAAAAAATGACAAAGGCTAACCTATGAGGTGGAGCTGTACCGGTGATAATAAAAGAAATCGAAACATTGTAAATTAAACATGCTCCATCAGTGTCTATTGCTAGCTATACTAACGGAGTTTCTTCCACTTTACATTGGTTTTGAAGTCAAAGTTCCACTTGAAGTTTTGTTGTCACTCAAGGCTGGAGAACCCAGTCTATCCTGCTATTTAACACAGAGCCTCAGTGAAAAGAGATGGGTTCATAACTTTCTGAAGGATATAGTGATTTCCAAGCGTAGCTTGGATGTGGCACAAGGCCGAAAGTAAGGGGAACCCAGTGAGTATCGAACTCACTACTCATTCGTAATTGTTCTAGCGAGACAAGCTTACTAACCATTACACCACCTCGAGGTGCCCAACTTTCTCAAGGGTATATGTGAGAAGTTGAACACAACAGACCAGCCAGGTATTTGGACTCGGCTGGACGATCCTATATTCCATGAGGATATTTTGGTTAAAACCGCATATGCGCCAATGTAATTCATAATGCAATGTTCCTTCAGGAAGTAGCCGACTATAAATCGTCACAGGTTCCTTTTCTTTATTTTATGGAAATTGCTATATGTTCTTGAGTAAGAAAATGAATTGATTTTTCGTTCATTATTTACATTATTCGGACTATTGTCCTCATCTTTGTCGCCATATTTATCACAACGTTTCGGCCGTTGGTCGGCTCAGGAGATTTTTTGAGATCATTGACAAGGAACACCATTAGAAAATTCGTAAACTTAAGGAATCAGCACATATGCTAGGCCACAAAAATCTCCTGAGCCGACCAAGCATAGAAATAAATACAATATGGGAACCTGTAATAAGGAGTGCCAGAGAAAAGCAATGATAACAACATAGTTGCAATATGAGCTCTGGTAAAAATGAATATAATGATAACAGTAAAATTGCAGTATGAGCACTGGTAAAAATGGTTGCTGAAGACATTAGGTTTATAATACCCAGAAATTCCTCAAGGACACATGGCACAGTGGATAAAGTCGTTAGTTAGATCCAGTGACAGGACCCAAAGAATGTGAGTTCAATACCCGGTTAAGGCATTGGAGAACTTTCAGAGGGAAATTAACAGGAGATAACTGATATCAAATATGGCACGTGGAACTAGAACAGTCTACCCCGGTGAGCGAAATATAGGGTTAAGTTCGACATTCCAACCACCTGAAGAAGGCCGGAGCGTACAACAGCCGAAACGTTGTGATAAATATGGCGACAAAGATGACAATAGTCCGAATAATGTAAATAATGTACATAATACCTCATCTCAGAAATATAGACAGACTCTGATTTTTCGTTGTCTTTCACATCTTGGAATTCAAGGTTTAATTTCGCTTAGACTTGTTACCATCCAAGGCTAGATAATCTTGTCTATCATGTTTACCCGATAAATAACGAAAAGAGACGGATGCATTCCTATCCAAGTGAACGCAAGAGATGAGATCGGAATTTGAAATTGGCTAACCAATTCAAAATTCAGTGGCAACTATTGTATATTGGATTCAATGCCCGGCCATCCAATGTATATTGGATTCAATGCCCGGCCACTTTTATTCGAGAATACTCGTCTACTAGGGCGGCTAGCCAATCCCTATTGCAGGCGCTTGCTCAGGCGCATTTGTGTCTATTCATCACCCACAGAGCCAACCGGTGGATTGCACTGGATCTATGCTGATCAGGCATGATCAACAATTTGAACAAGGCCAACACGCTCAAAACTTCGGCCACGATGACTTCGTGCTAGCATATCTATCGACGAAAATCCAAGGGTTCCGTTTACCCAATTTCATTCACAAAGCTTAGGTCAACCCTTGATATGATTTTCAGGGACGCCAGTTTGACAACATCATTTCCTTCCTGATAAATTGGCCATGGTGAGATCCGAACCCTGAAACTCATGGTCAGAAAGCGAACGTTCTAACCTCTCGGCCACGAGAATATATCGAGCCAATGTATACTGGATTCAAATGTAATATACACTAATATAAAACTAAGGTTTTTATTACTTGTTTTTTCTTTGCGACAGAATTTACTTTGTTATTGTATATAATACTTGATAAATGTGTTCTATATATATCTTACTAATAGTTCTGCCTCTCGAGTGCGCGGCCATTTCACACGTACCACATCACAGCCAGATAAACGCATTAAGGTCATTAAACTCGGAAGTTCTATTAATCAGAAGGTTTATTAATACCTTGGCTCCAAAAAGCTCATTTCCGTTATCTCAGGATCCAAACACTATAACTTAATTCATCTCGGTACAAGCAACTTGATGTTTTAACATTGTTTCAATGGCAAGGGTATCATAGGTAGTAATTATTACTGGAGACATGGTGGGGTAGTGGATATCAACTCGGATTGAGGAATCGGAGAGTCGAGTTCGAATTCCCGTCGAATCCATTACATACGTGCTACGTCTTCTCCCGCAAGCTATGGGTAAATAGGACAGTCTGCTTTCTGTAGACTTGGATGGCAGCTGGTCTAGGAGAAGGACAACTCTGAATACAAAACCTGCAGAGGGTCACTTCGGGACCTTGTGGCACGCAGTGCACTAGGTCTCTGTGTTCGGCCCTTCAAAAAGTGTGGATGGTCCTGCACGAAACCTTCACCACTATAATCAAATCTCATGTGCTGTTGTCTGTCTGTCGTTTTCCTAGTAACTGATATGCTTGGCCCTCATACGTCGAATTCGACGGGAGAGTCGAGTATATATATAACCATACTATGGCATTTTGAATGAAATTGGGTAGACGTGACCCAGGTTTTAAGCATGCTAGCCTTGTTCAGAATGTAGATCACGCTAGATGACTCGGAAACTGTAACTAAAATATATACAGACAAATCATATATATATATATATATATATATATATATATATATATATCCTCCCGATGATGGCCATATTGGTCGAAACTAGTCGAGGAATCTAAATGAAATAATAATAAAAAAAACGAAAGAATATTAATCCAGGTCTCTGTATTCGGCCCTTCAAAAAGTGTCGTGGTTTTGCACAAAGCCTTCAACACTATAATCAAATCATATGTGCTCGTGTCTGGCTGTCAGTTCCGAGGAACTTAGCTGCTTGACACTCTTACGTCGAATAGGACAGGAGTGTCTACTGCTGTGTCGTTCTGCAGCTGAATCCAGAGACCCACACGGCACACACGTAGGTCGTTGGAAATTTCCCAATATGCAAATAACACTAGGTTCTATTAATATAGAAAATGAGAGTTAATGTCAATATAATTTACACTAACTCTCATTTTCTATATTAAAAATCTCTCATTTTATTTTATTTTATTTCATTCAATTTTTGGCAGGGAATATTGTTTCGGTGTACCATGATCTCATCAGTAATCAATCATAGCATCCCATTCCTAATAATCCTCATAGAAAAAGAATTGGAAAACGACACACCGGAAGATTATTTGGACCTTGAAGACATACCACCAGAATACGCCGGTGGGTTGTGTGGGAGATAACTTGTTAAAGGCCAGAATGGGATAGGATTTTACCGGACAAGAAAATAAAAAAAACGCGTGCTTGAGCCCGTGCTTGTTGTGCAGATTCCGGTGATAATTAAGGGCTAACAGAAAGTATTCACAACATGTGAATTATATAAAATATCAGTCTATGCGCTCGTAGGCGATCATGTATCTTTCGATACATGATTGACGAGGCAGAATTTTTATTCCTGCAGTAGGTTGCCATTTCTTTCTGCAGTAAACCATTTGCCATCAAAGGGTATAGAACCCGATCTGTCCTGCTATTCGGAGAAGAAGATTCATACCTTTCCCAGGGTTATTAGCACGTAAGTGAATGTAATGGTTTCGACTGGAATTCGAACTCGGCTCTCCGATTCCTCAATCCATTACTACACCGTGCATCCATCTAAAATGAACCTAAATTAAAAACAGGACAAATAAAGGAAAGTAAAACTATAGACACTCTGTACTGTGATAACATATATATATATATATATATATATATATATATATATATATATATATATATATATATATATATATATATATATATATATATAAGCTTAGAAACGTTTCCTTTAGTTCAATTAATCACACTGATATCTCTTCTGATTATCGAACGAATCGAATTGGTGGAAAGTATATGTTGTTTTCTTTTGTTGTTGTTTTTTTTTTTTGTTTTTTGTTTTTTGGGATTTCTTAAAACTTTTACACTCCCCCTACCTAAAAATCGATTTATGTCGACAGAGAGCTGAATTCTGGGGGCGTGATTAACAGCATGATATTAAATGCCAATCAGAGAGAGCCCAGGACTCACTGTATGAACCAGAAAAGAAAAAAAAAATGTCTGTGAGATGATAAGAGAAATCTGGAACAATCGTTATCGACAAAAATTTCACATCATCAAAAACATTCAGAACACTCCACGTAAAAGATAAAACGATCTCTCATAATAAGAAATTAAACACGAGTTCATATATATATATATATATATATATATATATATATATATATATATATGTGCGTGTATTCTACTGAATATACGTTTTCAGTCATTCTCAGTAGAACACACGTACACTTACATATGTGCATATATCTGTATATATGAATGTATGTGTGTGTGTGAGTTTATGTATTCTGAAAATGATTGACAATGTATTTCTGTTAAGTTTTCTATTGTATTTTCCTCGGTGCGAA